GTATTTTTCGGGGTCCAGGGTCCACAGCAGGCGTGCGCCCGCGATCTTTGTCAACTCGTATGTCAAATAGCCTTAGTGCCGCGGCTATTTCGGGTATGGTGTATGGTGATACTTGTTTTACGACGGGCGTTTCGCCGGATTTGGCGTTGTGTGCGTCATGCGTGCTTGCGCGGCGCGGCTTGGACCGACCGAGAAGTGGGCAGCTGTAAGTTACTGGTGGCGGCTGGCGCGGCTGGCGCGGCGGCGGCGCGGTGGTCACTTGACTGTGGGCCGCGCTGTGGCTCCTGCCGCTCAACGCGGGCTCTGCAAACATACGACCGCTTCTAGTCGAACTTCTCCTCCCCCGCCCCGCCCCTCCCCCCTCAGCAGGCCGCACAGACTGCGACGTGTCAGAGTCGCTGCTTCACGGCTGCGGCGCTCGGTGGCGCTCTGTGCCCTGTCACACATCCTGCAGTTTGACGCCTTTGGCTCGCTCGGGGACAGTGGCACCGAGACGACCGCTTCGCGGAGTACTTTTCATTGACAGAAGATGTGGGGAGTGCCGCCGAGTGTCACGCGCACATAACACATAACATATTCTAGACGTTCTTTTGTTTCTACTTTTTTTTTTCGCGTCGCGAGAATCATACCCGCTCCCCGGCTTCAGCGTCGGGGGGTTTACGACTCTCGCACAGACGCACTTATTCTTACAAGAAAAGCCCTGAAGTTGATTTAATTTTTGTGCCGCAAAGTCGTTTTATGCTCTCAAAGGGTAGGTAGGGTAAAGGGTTTAGTTTCTTTATAAATAAAGAAGCAAAAACTTGCTTGTTCCTTACTTTTTCTATTTTTGCCCTTGGCGAAACACGCACAAACACGGGCTGGTCGGCCGGTGATCGCGTCATGCTATTTGTGCGCGTCGTGTGTGCTCGCGTGTTTGCCTAGGGTCGCGCGCTTCCTAGTGGAAATGCAAAAGAGGGAAGAAAGACAAGGCCGGCGCAGAGAATGAGTGGTTAACACGAAATTCGAAGGCCTCCGTCAACTAGGAAAAATTCAAGGATTTTATTTTAGTCTTCCTTTATCATGGGTAAATGTAACACCAATCATTGATGATTTTTTCAACCAACGTGGTGAACTTTTTAACTTTTTTGTAGTGGACACGAAATTTGAAGGCCTTATCAACTAGGAAAACTTCAAGGAATTTTTTGCCCCTTCATCATTGGTGAATTTTTCAACCAACGTGGGTGAATTTTTCATCCAACATGCCATTGCAGGGTGGTGGATTTTTCTCCTCCGCGTAGTGCAGTCGGTACTAGTAGGAGCTACACGCGGGCGCATGCCGCATGCGCCGCACGCGCGCCCCATCTGTCGGGAGATTTCACAACTAATAACGGAGAGCGGGGCGGGCGCGTGGGAGGGAAAGGAGAGAGGCGGAAGGGCGGGCGGAAGTGTGCGGAAGAGGAAAAGGGAGGGGAGGGGGAGGACAGAGCAACAGCCGACCACCAATCATAAACCATTTATTGGGGGATCTCAACTTCCCTTCTCCTTCGCTCTCTTTTGTTTCCTTCCGCGCGATCCTTGCTTGCGTCTTTACATTGTGTTTCTCTCTCTCGCTCGCTCGCTCTCCCTTTGCACTCGTTGCGATTCCAGAAGGGCGTGATGTCGTGCCGATGGCCCAGCATCATCGCCAGACGTGCAACTCGTTCCGTCGGGGAATCGCTATGTGGGCGGTCGGATAACTTCTTAAGCCCTTTTTTGTTTTTATTTCAAGGGCGAGGATAATCTTTATCCATTCTGATAGTTATCTCAAGGACACACTAGATGACATGAAATCTGGACAAGGTACCGGGTGATTCAGAGCACGCGTCGCCGTGTTGCGGGTTTGCCTATCCTCGACTCGGCGGGCGCACGGGTGAGAGGTGAGGAGGGGACCCTCCTCCCGGTACCGGGTCATGGGTCATGGCCGGCGTACTGAATTTTTAAACTGGAAATTTTCCAAACCGTCCAGCGTGCCTCAGCAAATTCACTTATCATTTCCGAAAAAGTTTACGTCTTTTCAGTCGTGGGGCGGATCTTTCACCCCGCCGCTTTATAGACAGTCGTCGCGGATCCAGACGCTCACCGCGGCGCATATTTCACACCGGGACGTTATCCGCAGCAGAGGGGCTTTATTGGAAGCAGGAAGCCGAGTGAAACGTGCGCCGTCAGCAATCCCTTAGCGCGGCGTCGCGGTGCCGATAAGGTTCAATGCAGAACACACTGCGAATTGTGATTGCGTGTTTGAATTTTACTGTACTTGATTTGCGAAGGATTTCGAGCATGTCTAAACGCGTCAGAACGGTCGGCTACTGCCTCTTTCTACGGGAAAATGTAGAGTGTGGTTAGCGGGAGGGGAGGGCTGGCGGTTAAACGCTCACGATGAGCGGGAGAGAGGGAGGGGAGGAGGAGGAGGAAAAAGAGAGAGAGCGAAAGAGAGGGAGAGAGAGAGCGTGGGAGACAGACACGCCGTTGAAAGTGAAGTGATGATGGGGCGTGAGAGTGCAAGTGAGAGAGAAGAAGAGGTGGGAAAGGGATGTATAAAGGTTGGGGAGGTAGGAGGTGAGGGGACTATACCAGCCGCCAGTCCGCGCCAAGTCAAAACGCAAGATTTATTAAAGGGCGTGCGTGTGTTTGTACTCATGTGTGTGTGAGAGAGAAAGAAGAGGGAAGGAGGAGAGAGAGAGAGAGA